TTTAAAACACTTTGTAATAATAAAATAACTCTATAATAAATGCACTTTTACAACACTCTATAATAACACAAAAACATGCCCTTTCAATTTTTTCCCATCTTTTTAATTTAAAACACTTAATGAGTTTCTTTGCATTAAGCCTTGTTTGTGAAAAATAAATTGATTGTTTTCTAGTGCTTCTAGTCACGCACTTTGAGAATAATGCGTATTTCCCAATGACAAGCAATGAAAAGCTATAAAATAACGCTCTGAATGCAGCGATTAAGATGTTACTTGCAATAAAAAATGTAAAAAAAAAGCATTGTGCATGTTACTCTGCAATGAATAGTTATTGAAAGCAGCAACCTCAACGAATTTAATACAGAAAAATCGCACAAACTGAACTGAAGTATTAAAAACAAAGACATACTAAACATTAGAGTTAAGATCATATTCTACAAGAGGTATTTTCAGCAAAATCATTACAGTACTTATGAAAAATACAATTGCTTTTAAAAACTTTATATAAAAATTATTTTTTTACAAATAATATTAGTTTACAACTCATAACATTTCTTTATCACTATACACAATTATTTAAGGATCAGTGTATTCAAATAATACGTATTATTTCCGTGAAGTGTAAACTGACTTCAACATGCTTTAATATTTTTTCGGGCTTTATGTTTCTATTACGCATAACAATTATTCTGTTTTTAGATAACGGAAAACTTTAAAGTATTTTCTATGGAATAAATATTTAATAATTACCTAACTTTATTAAACAATGTCTTAAAACAAGTAAAATTAATTTTTTTTCTGTTAAACATATTTTCAGATTATGCAGTTTCAGTTTATATTAATTGAAAACATATATTGTCTATATTTTCTTCTTAAATTAAGCATTCTCAAAATTCTCATAGACTTACTCAGAGTTTCAAAAATTTATTCAGTGAAGTATATTAATTATACAGATTAGTATACATTTGAGACCAAATTCAGTTTTGCTTCTACATGAGGCAATTTAAACTGATTCCCCATTCAGTTATATGACGAATTTCTTTGCTTAAGAGCTCAACATTTCATATCTAATGTACCAAATGCAACAACATGTAACAAAATGAAGTTGAGTAGTAGTCTATGTTGAAGTAATGTAAAAATTCGTAAGGTCTTTTTAAATACCTGTTAGCGATTGTTTATGAAATATGTTGCCAGAAAAAAGAACTCACATAAAATTGATTTTATGTTATTAAAGTGTTTTGAAACTAAAATTAAACAGCGATGTTTACGATCAGTGTTCCTACAACTTAAAGCTTAACGATTTAAAATGGCATACGCAGATACATCTCAGTATTAAGAAGTAAAAGTTGAAATACGTAGCAAAAGGAGTATAACAAAATCCAGTATGTATTCTTAAAAACACTGTTTATGATGTACTTTGCTTTCGTTTCACATTTCAGCTACATTAAGTTTAAAGAAGCATTCTAAATGCTTCTTTAAACTTAATGTAGATTAAACAAATATTTGAAATTTTGTACCACGTGTACATGGCAGTTATGAATTTCTTTTTTGCAGAAAAAGAAAAACAGAAAAAATGGAGCTGAAAACCAAAAATACTGAATTTAAAAAATAAGCATAAATCTTATACATTACAATTTAGTAGAAAATAGTCTTTTTGCTTTGTAGATAATACAAATAGTGTAAATTATTCAGTTTAGTAAATTGACAACCTTAAATATGATCTAGTAACAGCTCATGAAAGCAGTATGAAATATTCCTGTGCCAATGAAGTTATAACATTATGTCAGTTCTTTTTTATGTATTTTACATATGCAGTTTTTATATATTCTTCCAAACAGCTTAGGTATGCGTATTAAAAATTTGAAAAAAAAATTTTTAATAGGAATTAGATATAAAAGAGTAAACTGCTTAGAACAACACATTGAGTTTATTTCACATATAGCATTGTCTTAATTACACTTTTAATCAGTAGCAAACTATTTAATTTTTCATTTTCGGTATTCAGCCTTCAGAGTAGCAATCAAAATTTATTATGGAAGGAAGATCTTTGTGTAACAGTAAATTGCTTTTTCCTTTTCTATTCATCATTTATTATTATTTTTTTAATGTTTCTACCATTCTTTATTCAAATGAAACAATTATAAAGATTTACTTAGTAATAATCTCTCCTTTTAGTACGAAATTTTAATTTACAGTGATTTTAGTGGAGTTTACAGTAATTTTAGTACCAAATATTCAGCTGAGGTTTCAATGGATTTTCCTTTGAATTCACGAGGAAAAAATATTAAATTTAAATCATTTGTTACAAAATTATTACCAGCGACGTCATCACCATTATATGATTGATAGGCTATGTAAAGCTAATTTACAAGCAATTTACGTCCTTTTCATCGCATATATGCAAATATTTACATTTCGCTAATATTATAAGTAAGTATAAATACTTAAGTTTTTTTTTTTTATTTATGTAGTTTAACCTGAAGCTGGTAATATTATACCTCTGTATTACTTATATTTAGAAAAAAAATTCATAATTTCCTTTTCCATTAGTATTTTAAAGCAATGCCTAAATCCTACATTTTAATCATTTTTATAATAATGATTTAAGTTATTTAGAAATTCAATTTTATGAACAAAACCATGCTGATTTTCTTTTTAATTAGTTAATTTAGTAGTCGATATTCAATTCCTTTTTGATAATTTCCGAGAATTTTACTTGTAATTTATTACCCGTTTATGTTAACGCAAAGTTACATGTTGTGCTCTTCACATGAAAATTGATACGAAATGATATGTCTAAGTATTTCACCTGTAATACTTGATTAGTTAAACATTCAACAATCAACATACATCCTTCAGAAAGTGAAGTTATTTTTTACATTAAGAGATACTGTGGTTTCCAGATAAATCCATACATAACGAGAAAAATGATTTAGAATAGAAAGAGAAAGATACAATTACAAGATAACTTTAGCTTCTAATATTCCAACTTTCTACTTTTTTGAGGATGAGAATGTTAATATCAAAATAGAAGACACAGCTAAATGCATGTCACAGACAGAAAAAAAAAAGTTATATGTCTCAAATTATTATAGATGTCATTAACTTAATTTATCGAAATAATAAATAAATGCATCACACAGGTAAGAAAGACATGACGAAACTTTTACATGTTTTAAAGATTCAGTTAGGCACCTGTTTACGTTTCGTCTTTAAATAAATTCTTTTAGCTAAAACAAATATTACTTCAAAATTCAAAAGCAGAAAAACTGTCAAGTGAAATAAAATTAAATTTAACAAAACATCCCTTTTGCTAAACAAATACCTAAACAACTCATTTCATGTTTAGGTATAGCATTCCTCAACATAAAATTAGTTGTTGTATCTTTTCGTAATTTACAAATAAGAGTAAATGCTTTCCAAATTCCAAACAATTTTTTAAATATGCTATTTAAAAAAAAAAAAAAAGTATTTTTCTATCTGAAAATAATCCGTAATTTTTCCAGTACACTTTTTTTAGGATTTTCAGAATTTATGCTATCATTCCTTATCAGCATATAATTAATATAAATATATTTTGATTTCATACACATGGTTTAATTTGCAATCTAGTTCATTTGAAAAATATTTACATTTGATAAGCATTGTGCAGCTCAAGACAGCTTATAATTATTTGACTTTAGCCTAGTGTCATACATACATCTTAATCGTTAAGCAATGCAAAAGCAAAGTGTATAACTAATCTTTTATAATCGGTCACCGCCTAAGAAGCATTTACTGTCACGAAACAATGATATATTGTATTTCGTGCGAAAGAGCATTTCCGATTACAAGACATTAACATAATCCTATATTAATATTCTTGATTTCTACAAGACGAAAAATGCATTAGCAAAGCACGTAACTCCCTACGTTTAATTACACTTCATAAAGATGTGTATTTTAGTCTATTCTAATCATCGTCAGTCCATGAAAATAATAACTAATGAAGAGACTACAATTACACTTGCATTGTTTCGGTTTTTGAATATTTTTCACTTGCACATACATGGGATCTTAGTAATGATTATGAAAGTCATGAACACTTTATTCTTTCAACAGATTTTGGCCAACGAAACAGTGCACAGAATATTTGAATGAATACTATAGAAGCGAAGTTTGATATCAAATTTTTGTATTCTAAAGAAAAGTTATAGATATTAAAGTTATTAACACGAACGAAAATTTATTTACATTTCACTAAAAATGAGAATTACTATTAAAGTAACATTGTGTTAGTAATAAACTTTATTATCTTAATATTTTTTACGAAAAATCTGCCAATGTTTTCCTTTGAATTTCATATTATATTTATCGCACCTGTCCGTTAAGTACGTATATAATAATTTTCATTAATATTTTAATACTTAAGAAGGGAGCTGAAATATTCTAAATTTTTCGTTAGTTTTCAGTATTAACTAAAGATTGGCAGGAACTGCAAATAAGTATTACAGTGCTCCAGTCTGAAGCATTTTAAAAAACTTTAGATTAATTCACCATGCAGAAATGTCTGAAATATTTTTTAACTTTTAGTTTGTGATGAAAAGTTAAATGGCAGGAAAACTTCTCGGCGTAGTAACTTTTGTTTTGGTTTGTGTATGCTTGTGCTTAATGCTCGTTTGTGGGTCTTGTAAAAGGGAGATCCACATATCTTGTAAAAAGGAGATCCTTGTTTTACAAAAACTTTACATTCACCAAATGCAAACCTGTTCAAATATTATTGCACTGTAGCAAAATAAATAAAATCAACTGTGCGTCACTAAATCATCATTATTCTTATTATTTTATCATAAAAATTGGCTTTTGCTGCAAACAACTACTGGCGAACATTTTGATCTTTTTTATCGATCATTTCTAGTTTGTTTTACGAATGTGTAAACACAATTTGGGATGGCTCTAGGGATTAAATGGACTTAGTCGCACAGAGATGGACATTTGATGTGAGTGAGAATTTCACTTACCGGGGTTATTGGTGTGGACTTTTTTCATCCATGGGTATATAACAGGAGCTTCGGATCCCGAACAGTCCGAGTTTTGAGTGTCGGATCTCTGGTGAAGAGAACCTGGGGGTGGCGAACTGTCCGGCGAGGACCTGTTGTGCGGATGATGGTGAAGGCTGTCGTCTGTCCCGACGTGGTCGACACTTAGCGGTGTCACCGTGTTCTGACTGAGACTGCACGAGTGCTGATAGTAACTGTGTGGAGAGCTGCCGTGATTCGTGAAACCCGCAGTGCCGTTTTCCGCCGGGCCATAACTCACGGGCGCCGCGTGGAAGCCACCGTAATGTTGGTGGTGCTGTCCGTAGTAATCCGGGATATAATTTCCTTGCGAATACTCCTCGCTGGGTGGAAATTTCGGGTCCACGTACGGCTGAGAGTTCATCAAAAACGAACTCATGATCATTAATTTTTGGGTGAATTGGATGGAAATAATTTTTCTTTGGAGGATGTCGTTTAACTCTGCCGTGACTCCGCCCGCCGCGATAAATTAGCATATCACGTGACATGCGCGCGCCAATAGTCTCTCTCCCCACTGACCCGAGCGCAGGCGACGACGTTGATCGATGCTTCGGCGACACGCCCCCAACATGGCGCTCGCGGAACCCGGTTTTCGGAGAGTGTGTTCTGCGGATTTCACGCTTTTTTGCCGACGACAATACGAGTCCGGATGGCGGAATAAGATGTTAAAAGTTGTCCCATAAACCTCGACTGGCCTTTGGTAAACTTCCACGGCCACACTCATGGGCTTTTTGCTGCGGGAGGGCAGCTTTAAATGAGCGGCGGCTCAGTCCAAGGTGACGCCAGAAATTAACAGGTGGGCAATTATTTATCGCGATGTAAGAGAAACTTCTGTAATCTCTCTCAGCTCCAGGCGAGAGGAGTTTAAGAAGCTACAGAAAGCTAACACTGTTGACGGCCAATACACTACCTATAAAATGGAACGTTTATCATCCAAATCAACTTTAAATATAAATACGAATCTCCTTCCAAAAATTTTATCGAATTTTTTACGCTAAAATATTTTACAACTGAAAAAGAACCCATTTAAATGAGTAACTAAAATTTTAGTGGGAATTAGTAATGTTTAATAATTTATTGCTAAAACTGCCATTCCTTTTGCGAAATATTTATGGATTTATTAAACAGACCTAACGGTAAAAAAAATTAATCCGTGTATAAAATTATAAGATTTTTTTTTTTTTTTTTCTTTTCTTCTCTCAAGTCGCAACTGAAAAATACGTTACTATGAAGTTCAAATATTTTGTATTTGTAATTTCCTTTTCTTTTTTTTTTAAACTTAAAACACTTTAAATTCAGATCTCAGTTATTAACTAATTAAATAATAGTTTAAAAAAAGTGTTAATAACTGTCTACCCATTTAAAATTTCCTCTGCTAAGGAAGTTCGTGGGAAAAAAGTATATAATGTCATATAATTTTGAAAATATTTTTTATTACATACAACGTAAGCTAGAGATCATAATCACTTTAAATCTGAATGACCATAGAAGATTATTATCGTAGGAAGATAATTATCTCCTTATTTTTTACACAGTAATTCGGAATTAAAGGTCCGTTAAAATAGTTCATATTAAATAGTTTTAAACATTTTATAACTTAACCTTAAAGCTACTTGTTTTCTCAAACTACCATCATAACATCCTTTTTTCTCTGTGAAAAATTAGCTACTATTATCCGCATTTAAAAGGATAGCATATACACGGAGTTTCAACACAAACAAATTAATGAATTTTTTCGTCAAGAAAAAAATTATTTTATTTTTAAGTAATTTAACAATACTTTATTGTTTCTAAAGTTAATAGATTTTTTCTGTATTGTAAGTCTTAGATTAATTTTATTTTACCTATTAATGATAAGTTATTACTCTCTTCCACAGTCCTAGGCTTCATATAAAAGTAATGCAAGTATATACCATTTCCATGTCCTATCTAGCAGAAAGATAACCTGATAAAAGCCTAAAAACCAAAACTCTGCACAAACACACTCTATAACTAGGTCTCCAAGAAAAACGTGGGGTTCGTTACGGAAACCTCGTGCATAAATTCTCCAAGGAGGAAAAGACAAAGATTTTTATGATCGCGGACGCTAAATTGTTGTCACACCTCATAATCCTTTTCCGATAAAGAGTTACAGAGCACGCGACTCGATTAGGTCCCGAGGCGGTATCTTCTCAACGTTGGTAAATCGCTAGGGAACGGAATGACCGATGGTCATTACAAGGCGAGCGCGCTTACCGACTGAAAGCCGCTGGCGATCCGGGTTCTCGTTATATAGTTCAGCCAGGTGGTATGAAGTGCTCATTCCGTTCTTTGCTAATGAACTGTGAAATTGAATCGAAAGTCCGAACAATACGTTCCGATGGTCGTTCAATAAACAAAGTTGTTGTCCGGGAGATATACAAGGGGGCGGCTGCAAATTGATTTTGACAACTTTAAGGTTGTACTTCAGGACCTACATTACAGAACCTCAGTGATGCCAACATCGAGTGCTGCCACAGTTTGCAAAACAAGAACTACTTTTAATATATTAATCTAGTATGATATAAGTCCTAAGAACTCAAGCATTGCGTTTCACATAATGATTTTTCTTTATTTACTAAGTGAATATCATGCAGAGCTGGGGACCTTCATCATTTTTCATGAAACAAATAAAAATATATTAACTAAAAAAATTACTAATTGTTTCTACGAAGCACATTTAAAAGGTGTTGGCAAAAATGACCCTTTCATGTATATAGGTCCGAATTACCCGGCTGTCTATTTAAACACAAATATTTTATTGTGCTAATTAATATTAGCATTCTTTCCTTTAAACTGCAAAAGTATCTGAAATATTCTCAGAAGTCATATGAAAATTACTAAGATTTCACTGGAATTTCTACTCTGAAACTCTCTAAATTAGCATGTCAGATAGAAATTTACTTCGGAATAAAAAGCTCCAAATTTTTTATTTTTCCTGAATCGCATTTTAAGTAGCCAAATAAATCCATCGAAACAAATATATAATTATTATGATAATTAACTATTATTTATAGAGGAATAATTTTAATTAAAAAATATTCTGAAATGTCTTATTTAAATTCTTTTTTCCTTTCTTTATTTTCAGTTTTATTTATAACATATTTTTTTTTTTTACTTAAAGAAAATAAGAATGATAAAACCAGATGTGTTTCTCTCGATGCAAAATTGCTAAATATAGCAGAAAGTTACGGTAAAGCAAATTAATGTGTATATTTCGGTTACGGTTTAATAAATAAAGTATATATCCCGATAAAGCAAATAACTTCTGAAACCTTTGGAATTGCATGAACTTAAAGATTTTGAAAGAACCTATATTTTGGAAATTCACATGATTCTACTTTTGCTAAATATTCTATTAATTAACGAAATTCTAAATTTGATTCAGCAGCTACAAGCCTGGTCTGATAATGCAATATTAAATTCATTTGTGGTTCCCCCCCCCAATATTGAGTAAACGTAATAAATAAAATCTACAAGCTAAAGAAATGATAACTAATTTATCAATTAAGTTTTGAGTTTAATCTGTATTTTTAAATATAACGCATTAATGAATTTTAAGGGCTTTACAATCATTATTATTTTTAGGGAAGGATTTTGAGCTGAGAAGTATCGATTACAAATGTCTTCAATTTCTATTGTTTGATCTACAAATGTTTGCTGATTAAAAAGTTTCATTATATATATTATATAAAATGATGGAGCTGAAAGAGAACTCATCATTACTATTTGGAAACAACATGCGACTCTATGTATGTACAAATGTACAAACAGTATTTTATGAGCTAAGCATTTTGAAGAAATAATGCATAAAACACTCCATAACTACTGAGTAATTTATATTATAACACACTCGTACTTCTAAATAATCTACACTACAATATACTCTGTAAATGAATAATATATTCCATAACTAGTAAACCCTTACATGACGAACAGTATTTAATAACCTATACATTTGCAAAAAATAGTGTCTAGATTCTGGGCAAATTTTTAGTTTCTGTTATCAGGTTCCTGCTCTTAACAGAATAAATTATGAAATTCAAATACAAGCTAAGTAACAACATAATTAATTGCCCGGTATTTTTGTATTTAAAAATGTCTACATTTTCATAATGAAATAAAAATGCAAATTTTAGATTAATAGAGAGAATGCTCCTTTTTTCAGCTTGTTTTAATTATTCCTACAGCTTTATTTAATTTATAAAAATAATTTCTCAAACTGAAAACTTATTCTTAAGAAAAGAAAACATTCTTTTAAATGCATTGGTTTCTTAAATCTCAGTGGAATAATATCAACATAATTAAAAAGTTATTAATTAATAAGTTTCAACTTTTAGTGTTTGATTAGTGCTGATTTCAATAAACTTGCTCCTGAAGAGGAAAGGCCATTCGTATTATCTTCTAAAATGTATAAATATATCCAGCTGAAGTCAGCTTTAAACAAAAACGAATTCTTCGAATCACTGATATTAGTAAATACACAAAATATTTGTATTGTGTCAAGACTGGATTAGTTTCGTTCGTTGATTAGGGCAAAGCATGCGAGGACGATCTGCCGAAGGGGAGTAATGCCTTCATGGAGGATTTTCTAGGAAAAACTGACTCGTATCCTTATTAGAAAAATATTTTGCTTAGAGAAGCAGTAGACAGAAGAACAGGAAAGGAGTTTCGGTTATATCCTTTTTAGTTTATTTATTGTATTATAATACAGCGAAAGAACGGAGATTCTTTTGATCTGTTTTAAATAAAAAGCGGATTAATTAAAATTCAACTTAGGTATTTAAAATTTCAAATAAAATTTAAATAACAAAAAGAGCATTTCAAAAACTTAAAGTTCTTGAAATATTTAAAAAGGCGGTATTTAATGATTAATTAAAGGTATTTGATGACAAGAAGAATTCTATGATAATGCAGTCAGGGGAAGATTTATCAAGTGGAGCAGAGACGTTTAGGGGAGTTCCTGATCTTAATGCAGAAGATATTAGTTTAAAAAGAATACTGGGGTATATTGCAGCACAATGCGATATGTACAACTCCATAAGCAGCTCCATCTTCGCAGAAGATATTAATATAAATACTAACCAAAATTCCAATTTATTTTTGCCAATTTCAACGCCATTTAAATATCATAAGATTATATTCGCTATTAAAGCATTAAATGTTCGAAAAATATGTTCCTTTTGGCCTCATCTTTTGAAATCTTCAAGTACAAATAGTATCGAATCTTTCAGCTAGGCTATGGAAATTCAATTTCCTATATAAGAATTGGTAAAGATGTATTGTTTCCCTTTGGAAAACAATACTGGCAGATTATTTACTGCCAGTAAATACTGGCATATTATTAATTTAAAAGATAAGTGGATCTCT